GATATATACATATGTATATATATATATATATATATATATATATATATATATATATATATACGTATACATGATTTATACTTTATTTTAATACGTAAATATGCTATTATAATTTGTAACTCGTTCATACGAACTCCGTTTTTGACGTTATTTATATCCACGCGTAGGTGGAGACGTACTCTACAACTTTCGTTTAGACTCCGTCGGCTAATTTTGACTTTATTTTTAAAGTTATATTTTTAACAGGCCGGGACATGATTGGTCCGTTAAAATCTCATAACTTCTTTATCCGATGTCCATTTTCGTCTGTATTTTTATCATTACGCTACTAATAACGAGATATTCGATTCTTGTTTAGGTTGTGTCGGCTAAAAATCAATCGATCTAAAATTCGAATTTCGGGTTGTACACCGCTAATCCGAAACTTCGAAAAATCATAACTTCTTCATACGACGTCAGATTTGGGCGTTCTTTTTATTGATGTTCTTAGTTTAACATATTCTACGACTTTCGTTTAGAGCGCTAAGGCTAAATCTCTCTTTATCATAAATTTACTATTTTACGCTTCCCGGCGCCGTGCCGGTTCCGACGCGAAACTTCGGCGGGTCATAACTTCTTCGTTATAACTCGAATTTCGGTGTTCTTTATATGTACGGAAACCTTGTGACATATTCTACAACTTGGTTAAGATTATTTATTCTAAATAATCCTTTTGTAGAAAATTCGTTTTCGACCCCTATTACCTCTAAATTGACTAGCTCGGATCTGCGGGCGTTACAGATGACCCCACCGGCCCCATCTGAATTGATTGCGAAATTCGATTTCAAGAATATCGTTCACAGAAACCCCTAAATGTCGATTCCGTCTTCTAGGGTTTAATGCCGATATTTATATCAAAAGTCTTCACAGAATCTTCTGATTTTGAAGAATATCTACAAAAAATCAGAACACGTTTGAAGCTCCGAAATCACTGGGTTCTTTATTTGATATTATGCGAGATATTTGTGTTCATCGGTGGATAATTGCCATACATATCGACAATTTCCTATTAAAAAGAAGAAGCAATGTACAATAATACCCTTCCGTGCCCAATCAATTAATGAAACCCTATTAAATTGTTTTTTATTCTATTTAATTTTTAAAAGAAAATTACTTTCTAAAATTATCAAAAATGATTGGCTTAGAATCCATTACACAAGCACACAATACTTATCAAAAACATTTGAACATAACTCTCTCTCTCTCTCTATATATATATATATATATATATATATATATATATATATATATTATATATATATATATATATATCAAAGGTTTCAATCACCAAATACTTCATACTATCCAATAACTTTATTCTATATCACGATGGCTAAATATGATAATTAAAAACTTAAAAGACTATGATATCAAATTTCATAAGTCATAACAACTTAGCAAAACATTATGTGGTTTTTTTATTTTCAATATCTATGCCTTTTAAAAGGTATATATAATTAATAAATTTTGAAAGTGTTTAAATGTAAGTAATAACAACCAAAGTTATAAATTGAAACAACTTATCAAACCGCATAAACCGCACATAAACCGCCTAAACCGCCTGCATGAAACCGCACCGCATAATGCGGTTTAGAGCTTTTCTGGCGCGGTTTGCGATTTCCAAAAAACTCAAACCGCATGTGCGGTGCGGTTTGCGGTTTCAATTCTAAACCGCACCGCGAACACCCCTAATATATATATATATATATATATATATAGCCAGCCCAAGCCCAGGGCGAGCTGGGCCATGGCCCATGGCAGACCTAATTAGGCGTCAACTGAAAAAATCGATTTATCTGACTTCTTGATCTAAGTACCAGGTACGCCTAATAATTAAAGATGAAGAAGGCGAGGCGTCTTGTTCTGGAGAAATATAATCAATGATTAAATTTAAAAATCTTCAACTACTTTAAAATAAACTCACGGTTCTTTTCTCTTATCATCGCTCAGTCGCTCCTCCAAAATTTCTTCTGTCTAAATCGTTTCTTCTAGTATCCTTTTAATATCCTAAATCGTTTCTTTTAATTTCCTATTAATCCATTCATATTTAAGAGCATTGTGAATTGCTTAAGTTTCAATCGGTCCTCAAATGTTCTAAATCTCTAATCAGTCCTGAAGGGTTGATTGAATTAATCGGTCTTCCTGAAGTCCTAATTAAATAAGTCTTTACTAGTGTTTGAAATTTCTTGCATAACCTAAACGAAGTTGCTAAAATATGATAGTGCTTATTGATTAAAATTTCTAAAATTTGAGTTTTCTAATATAGCTTACTGGCGAAGTGAAGTAGTAGATCAAAGTTGTAGTCTTGTTGATCCAGGACTGCTATAAGATTCATTAACTTTCGAGGTAACTTTTTTCTTTAATTTATGATATATAAATTCTGATTTTAAATAACTAATGTTTTTTTTTTAATTCTAAATAATCTAATGTACATGAAACCTGATGTACCTAAAAATCTGATAAGTTATTTTAATTTCTAAAATTTTGTTGGATCAAATTTCTAAAAATCTGATGTATCATATTTGTAAAAAATCTCATATGTAAATTTTTATATTGAAATTATAATATTAAAAACAGATGTGTTCTTGATTTATGTATAATATGATGTGGTATTTCAGAATAATCTGAATAGTTCTTTTAATTTTTGAAAATTTGTGTATCAAATTTTTGAAATTATGATGTCAATTTAATTTTTGAAATAATGAAATTTTAATTTCGAATTTCTAATACCTTTTCATGTTTTTGTTTAGGTTGTCAAGTTGTGGTTATGGATAGCCAACATGGTTGTTCCCTTCTTCGCTTGTACTATATATTTTTAACTTTTAGTCTCTTTTTTGTTAAGTATATATATATATATGTTTCCTAGCAAATGGCTATTGGGTGCTCAAAACAGAAGAAAAAATAATAATAATATGCTACTAATAAGTTACAAGAGTCTTTAAATAGGAATTTTGTTAGAAGTGAGGAACTTGATAATGATGGACAATATTTATTTAATGAGATACAAATTTTACAGGAAATGTTGTGTTATGGAGTTTGCAAATGAAATAGACATGTATCCAGATATGTTGGTATAATATAATATTTTTTGGTGGTACCGTTCATAGTTGCTTGTGCAAAAAGAAACTTTTTCGAAAAATTAAATGGATTAACAATTATGAGTATGAAAAATCAATTTCTACTGAGTTTTGATTATCATAAAATAAGATATGTTTTTGCTTCAGAAAATACGTAGAGACATTGTTTTAGATGAATGTTTGTTTTTGTTTCTATAACCTTGATTTTGTCTGAGTATATATATATATATATATATATATATATATATATATATATATATATATATATATATATATATATATATATAAGGAAAGATGAAATGAGAATACCAAAAACCTTGAGAAAGCAAGAACAAATATATTCATTTGTGATTCCATATATTCATTTGTGGAGAAATAATTTTTTTTTACGCACAATAAACATAAATATGTTTTTTCTCTTCAATTGAAATTAAAAGCGTAAAAATTTATCATTTCTTCACAACTGAATAAATGGAATCACAAATAAATATACTTTTTTCTCGCGTTCTCAACCTTTTTGGATTTTTCATTTGATCCTACTCTTATATATATATATATATATATATATATATATATATATATATAATATATATATATATATATATATATATATATATATATATATATAAGAGCAGTAATATAGTGTTTAGCCCTGGGCATTGAAAATCACTGGACCGGTCATATATATATATATATATATATATATATATATATATATATATATATATATATTATATATATATATATATATATATATATATATATATATATATATAGGATAAAGATCCGGTAAGAAATTTCTTTTGGTAGGAAGGTAATATGTTTTTTTTCTACATAGTTTTTTGACGAACAAAAAAAATGAATCACTAGATGATTAATTTGTAAGATGATTCACAAGAAAAAAATTTCAAAAAAACATCTTTATGATTCATTTTTAAGTAAATTAAGGAAAAATTAACTTTTATGACAATTTTAGTGAATAACAACAAAATCATTATATAAATGAATCATGTAGATGTTTTTTTTTTTTGAAAATTTCTTGTGAATTCATTTTATTTGTTCGCGAAAAAAAATATGTAGAGAAAAAACTTCTTACCTTCCTACCAAAAATTTCCTTCTTATTTAATTTTGACTATATATATATATATATATATATATATATATATATATATATATATATATATATATATATATATATATATACACACACACACATACACACGTTAAATAAAAAGAATTAGAGTTATAATATGACATATTCTATTGAAAACATGGAATTAGTAAATGAAAATATATTATTTTCTATATCAATTACACTTTATTTTAGATTATTTTAATAATGTAAAACAATATCGTGTGCAACTTAAATAAACAATTTAGTTAAGAATGTATATATAATTATATTTTGTTATCGTTTGAAGAATTCTGTCAATCATTCATATTTTGTATATTGTTTGACTAACCTTAAAACAACATTTTGACTATGTCCTGTAGGATAGTCGACAAAAGACAAGTATCACAATATTTTGCGAAGAAATATTCTATCGTAAAATGTAACAATAACTTGTAGTAGTGATGTTGTCATTTGTATTATTTTGTTGGACATGAGAAGTTAAAATCGTTAAATCAGCATATATGATATATAAATAGTTTTTACAACATATTGGTAGGAAATCATGAAAACTACAACTAGGAAAGGGAATTACTTTAGATCTATCTACACATCTACAAACATGGAACAACAGGAAACCGAATTAAATAGATTTATCATATATGCCGACTTAACTTTTTTTATTTTATTTTATTTTTTTATTTTTTATTTTTTTATTTTTTCTAATTTTTAAATTTTTAAATTTTTTAAATTTTTATTTTTTTTTTATTTTTATTTTTTACAAAAAAAACTAGCGTAAAAGTGTAATTCACAGTCACACAAATACGGATTCACTCCTCTTGGCGTTGGCTTTTCAAGGACCCCATGTTATGGAAGCTGCATACAAATTAATTCCAGGAAAAAACATTACATTAACATTTCATGTGTTTGATTATTATGATTCATGAATCAAATATGAATATGGATTAAGTTCATGACGGTAGATAATGAATAATAAGTATGCGACAAGGATTAAGTTGAAGTAATACCTTCTCGGGAGATGTTCCAATTTTGATCACATCCGACATGCCAGAAGAAATATCCACGCAGGTTTTGTTGTCTTGCGTATGCTACCTTTGATCTTGTTGATTGAACGTCATCATACCCGATCCAAGATCTCCCCGCAACAGAATAAGTAGATACTGTTTGTTGGTCAAACACTACTATTGCATTATTTTGGGCATTGAAGTTTTGAACTTCTACATAAGACATTGTGCCTTCATTCCCTGGTCCTACACCCACAGCTGGAGCCCCGATACCAGTTAAAGCTTCATCCCTTAGTTGCCAAGTGTGAGCATATAGTGGCAAACCCATAACCAATTTTTCTTTTGCGAGTCCATGTCCGATCCACGATTGTAGACCATAACTCGTACTCAGATTGCCATTTGGATTTGGATCATATAATGCAGCTGGGGCCCCAGTTGCAGAAACGTCCCATGACCCGTGATAATCATAACACATTGCATTTAACCAGTCCAAATTTCTGTTTATAGAATCTACCGGGTACGTAAGATTTAACCAGTCAATTGTTGGGGAGTACCTTGTAGCTGCAACAAGAAGAAGTTTGGGCCTAGAGGTTTTATTCGCTTCATTATTGACAGCCGCACGCCACTCGTCAAGCAAGCTACCAAAATTGTTCATGTCATCTGGTGTTTCAGGGAACTCCCAATCTAGGTCAACCCCATCAAAAGCATACTTCCTTGCCACTTCTATAGTGGAAAGGATGAATCTTCTCCTGGATTCACGATTTGACGCCATGCGCGAAAAGATTAATGTGCCTTGGCTGGCACCTCCAATGGAAAACAACGTTTTCACAGCAGGCCGCTTATTATGAAGGGTGGTGGTGAAGTTGTTTAGCAAAACAGCTGTTGGTGCATCTATTTCGAGGTGAAACGTGTTCTCGTTAAGAGAAAGAAAAGCATAATAAACATGAGTGAAAAAATTCGTGTCGATTGCCGCTGCTGGAAACTCAGCGTCGAACCATGAACACCAATAAGTTCCCTTGTTTGGGGAATTAGAAGAAGACATAGAGTTTGCGCCTGACACTTGTTCTACGTACAAAAGGTGAGGCTCAAAATAAAAAAGATAAAAAAGTATGAGCTTTTGAGGAATTCAATGTGACTACTAATTCCTCTGCTACCTTATATTTATATGATAGGGTACATCGACTTTTTTTTATTGATAATATAAAATTACATATTGGAATATGTTTAATACTTGTACACAGAGTATATCTTAATTTAATTATTGTGATAACTCATTTTTAAATAAATATATAAATTGATTATATTATTATTGTTAATTTATAAATGTATAGTGTAGGTATTTTATATTTCTTCTATGGCTCAAGGCCCTTTATTTAATAGTGTATTATACTCGTTGTACTATTTAAAGCAATGGAATACATAAAAACTCTAATGGGTATTTTCACAATCCAACGATTCTATTGAGTTGGGGATTTGTTTTCATAGTCATTCCACCACATTTGATTTTTCTTTTAACCTTATTACAAATCAGTTCATCTGCTAGTTGAAAAGCTACTTCCTCATCGTTGATGTTGTTCTTCATCTTGTAACGTCCCATAAATGTAAATTTTTTATTTTTAAGCCATGTAACTCATACAAATAATACTTGCTAAACCAATCATGGTAAATTGTAATTTTCAAATATTAGAGTAAGCATTAATAATTAGTGCGGAAAAAAGTATCAGGAGATGTTGCGCAGTCAAGCTGGTCTATTCCATCTGGAACTAAAAGTACCTGAAAATATAAAACCAAAAAATGCAAACAAAAATCTTAGTAAGTTTTCCAAAATACAACACCATACATAAGATAAGGAATGCTATGTGCAACCATAGTCTTACAATCACTATCATTCATGAGCCATATTACTACCGTCTTTCCATGCTATGATGTCGAACAAAACCTGGGTCTTGCATACAAGTGTCCAGAGCCACATCCTAGTGTTCCATGCAACCATTACAAAGACAGCTAGCATCACATATAACAACCAAGGTCCAAACCTTGGTCTTAAATACAATTGTCGGGAGCCAAATCTTGGTCTTACATATAAGCGCTAGGGTCCACCACCAGGTCTTCCTACATGCTATAGTGAGAAGACTCACCTGACTTGCAAATTCAACTAAAACTCAGCTCAATGTCATGTCGTCCTGAGCTGACAGTTCCCATAACCAATGAATGGAAACTAAACACCTCCTAATAATCCACACAAGGTAAACCTTAAGTCTAACTTATTAAAAAATTAACCAAAAGTCAACACATGCTAAAAGTCAATGGTCAATGTCAAAGTCAACATCCAACAGTGTCATCCATTGTGCCTTACGCCGTAACATGCTCTTGCTCACGTTGTGAGAGCACACTCGGCCCGATTCCAACTTAGCTCGCTCTAACTAAGCCAACTTGGTCACGGACAACCCAATCAGGAAACATTACGACGGGAACATCCGTAGGTCAAGTCATGATCATAATAAGACAAAATATTCGTTGAATCCACCTTGGTCACGTCGTAACATCATCAATATCAGGTTGTGCCAGCAGTCTGAAGCACTAACTTAATAATTTGAGTCCTTAATCCATTCAGTCTTCAACTCCTACTTTCTAGAATGCTAATAGGGACTCCAAAGGTCCATGAGAAAAACAATTTTATGGACATGCATGTCCTCCAAGGCCGAGAAAATGACTCAAAACTCATGCAAGGTTCCCAAAACACAACCAAATCTCAAATCTAAACTAAATACCACACAAAAGGATTCAAGGATCCACAAAGTTGCAAACTCTAGGGAATTTTATCACTTCAAATTCCTTAAACTTGATGACAAAGGGACAAGGACACAAATCTAGACACCTAGAAGCACAAAGGTTGAATCTTGGACATTGTAACACCCCATTTTATTCCTGGTAGTACAAAGAACCAATTACGTTAAATAGACTTTTGATAAATGACTATTTAGGATAAATAGTTTTGACAAAAGTCATTATAGTCGTAAAAGAAAGAGTTTACACATTAAGAACGCCTAAATCTAACTTCGAATGAGGAAGTTATGAGTTTTAGAAGTTTCAGTGCAACATCGTATGACACATAAAACCGAAATAAAAATTTGTCGATTGTTAAGAAAAAAATCTAAATAAGAGTTGAAAACCTCATCCATATGATTTACATTGATATAAATACAGTCGAGAAAGGAATTCATATGAGAGAGTTATGATTTTATATGGGCATTAATAGTTTAAGCCTGTTAAAAATATAAATCTAAATATTAATTGATATTAGCCAACATATTCTGAATGAAAGTTATTGATTTCATTAATACCTACATGTGGAAATAGAAACATCAAAAACGGAGTTCGTATTAAGAAGTTACGAATTTCTGAAGTTTCCCAAGTGCACCTCGCACAAATAGGGTCGGTAAGCACCTTCTCGAAGCGACTACACAACACCAACCAAAAGTACATACGTGTCATGCTCTAAGAAGAAGAAGTGCCGACCAAGCTTGGGTGTGGCGCACATTTCAACTATACATAGGAATCCCCCTTTCATTCTTTCCTCTACTAACCTCTCTCTATTCTTATCTCAAGATCCAGTTTTTAGGAGATTTCAGGGTTCTATGAAATCTTAATTTCTAGAAAGGTTGTGAGGCAGAATGTCAAGCAGATAAAAATGCTAGGTATCAAAGTACTAGCCATGACACTCCGTTTGATAGAACTATCCTTATTCGATAACACTCTGTTTCAAATTAAATAAAATGAGTAATTAAATAATAAATTCTAAAACCCCGAGATGTATAATATATTTTGTTGTAGCTCTAAATCCATAATATCTTAGCGCGGTGTGGGTATTCGGAAGTTAAAAGCCATAATAGAGTGTTTCGGGGTTAAAATGTAATTTCCGGATTAGTTTGTAAAGAATTTTGAAGGTCGAGGGATGTTTAGTAAATTCTGGATATAATTTGAAAATGATTTAAGAAGTTAGGGCGTGTTTAGTAAATTATGGACTTATATTGTAATGAATTATTAAAGATGGGGGCTATTTGGTAAGATTGGGACTTAAGTTGAAAGAAGATTTTATGGAGAGGGACCAGAATTGAAAAAATGGATCGATTTTTGGTTGAATTCATGGGATCAGTCAAATCCGAATTCCCTGTTGTTTTGGAGGATACCGACTCATAACCCTAACCATAGCTCTCTTCAGGCACCTCCGTTCATGACTCACTAGCCGTCACCACCCTTTTTCTTTGTCATTTCAATCAGGCAAGACCGGCAGGGACCTACCATTCCAGCCGACGTTGCTTTCCAGGTTGAAAGCTGTTATCCAACATCATTGTTGCTCATGTAGGTGACAATGATAAGGACCATGGGTGTGTGGCCATTCTGCTGTTGTTGCTACCATCGGTCACGGACACAGTCCTCCTTCTTCATTTCTCCAGTGCTGCGCCTTAGCTATGAATGCTGCCGCTCGTCAGATTCTGGTCCTGTTGCTTCAGTTAGCATTTACTACTCCGAAAGGGAACTTGTTGTGAACATTCGGCATGCGTGTTGATGGTAGGTGGGTACTTTGGGTAATTCTTTTCACTACAGGGCATGATTACTTGGTTGGAAAACCGAGAGCAACCACCATGGCAGCTGACAATGGTAGTTGCCGCCTTCTACCACCTCTTTTGCCGCCACCAGCCACCATGAGAGGGTAGCTATGGGTGTGTGTTTTGGTGTGTATGTTTAATGAGGAATGTTGTATCAATTTTCTTAGTCAAAATTGAATTAGATCGCCACCACCACCGTGAGGTTGTGGCTGCCTCTATGGGCCACCTTCGACCACCACCGCCCGAGGTGGAAGTGGGTGGTGCTCAACATAGTGAAACCCTAATCGGCCTAATAGCTTAATCTTGGACTTTTTTGGCTTGTAAGTGGGTTGAAAACCCTAATTAGGGTTTAGAAAACCCTAATTTCAGGAATATGAATTTTGAATTTGTTGGGACCGGAATTTGGACAATTGGATTTGGGATCTTGAATTACGCCCAACCATATTGTATGTTTGGAGTGGTGGACTTAATGGATTAAGTCCTTAATGGGTTAAGTAGGAACACTTAACCCTCATCGTCATTTTATGTGAAAACCCCTAATTTGGTTTGGGTTCTTATTGGGATATTTCTTGGACCGGGTTGTTTTAGGCCTTCTTGGGTCAAATGGGAAAAATTTTGTGGACTAAGGAAATTATTGGGATTTAGGATAAGGCACATTGGAAAGCTTGGGCCTAATTTCAAAAATTTGGCCATAGGTGGGCCATATATTAGGCATGGATGATTATGAGATATTGGGCAATCGGAATGCAAAATGTTTAGACTGGGATAAATGGTTGGGCCATAAGATAAGTTCATGTAGAGGTTAGGGCCCGATTTGGAAAATTGGGTCATATGTTGGGCCTTGGTTCATTGATTGGTTTTTGGGTTTTCAAAGTGTGTGTTTGGACCTTGTTTTCGGACCAAGTTAGGTTAAGGGTACAATAATCTTTTTACCCCAAGCATGGACTTATGGTTATGTATTGGAACCCAATTATTAATTCGATGTTATTTTGATGTTGACAGCTTGGGAATCTGTCATCCAGTAGCTAGAGTTTTACTCGTGGGACTTCAGCAGTGTGAGGTGAGTCTCCTCGCCATACCAATGGGTCGAAGGCACTAAGGTCGGCCTATTTTATGATATGTGGTATACTAGTTCATATAGTGTTATGTTGCATGTTAGTTGGTTATGTGCTACGAGGTATGTTAGTTGTATATGTGTTATACTTGTATGAAAGACCATGGGATAACCCATGGCACTTGGATGTAAGACTATGTTAGGAGCCTATGGCTTTCCTATTAAAGACCATGGGGGGAGGAAGCCCATGACACTTGGATGTAAGACCATGTGGAGAGCCCATGGATTTCCTATTAAAGAACATATGGGGAGCCCATAATACTTGGATGTAAGACCATGTGGAGAGCATATGGCGTTCCTAATAACGACCATTTGGGGAGACCATGGCACTTAAGTGTAAGACCATGTGGGGAGCCCACGTCATCCCTATTTGTTTCATGCATCGCTTATGTGGTT